TTTATCCAGATGGTATAGATTGTTTTTTTTGCACAGACTCCATATCATCTCTCTAGGTGGTCCATAACTCATTACCAACAACAATAAGAATAAACAACATTTTGCTATTTATGTAATTTTTTCTTATTTTTTCATAATATTCAAGTTTTATAATATAACTTCTACCACCGGTCACATCAGCCAGGAATAAAATGTGGGGAATGGTAATGGCATTCTTCCAGTCATGGCTCACATTCATTTATCGATGGAAATAATGCAAAACCCCCTTCTAAAGGCCAAATGAGTCTACTCACCCTCTAGGAATTTTGTGCACTCATGACGAGTTATCATGTTACCTGGCCTTCAGCCATAATGCTCACAACAGGATGTTCACATCACACTGGCCCACAGCTAAATTATCCCATGACAGTATGTTCATCTGTCCCTAAAGACAAAGTTTTTCATGTCGTGATGGTCACTTCATCCAGATCATAGGGGATAAGTGGCAACCCTTCCTAGCGTATAGCTTGTAGACCTGGCCCATGCAAACACTTTTGTGCTATATCAAGGCTTCATGCCTCCCCTTTGCAATATTGTTACTTTATTTTCTGGAAAAGTGTTTTTTGTTTTTTCAACATTTTCCAAGGTCTATATTTGTCATCTGATATACTGTATCACAATTGTAATAGATTCTTTCCCTTGCACTAAATATCATCTCTCAAGGCAGTCTGTGCAATAGCAATAACAAAAAGTAACATTTTGTTATCAACTCAATTTTCTGTAACACACTGCTGTTCACTGTAGGCAGGACTAGGATTCTGAACATGAAAATAGTGTCCTCCCTAGAGCTTGCACTCTTCCAGCCATGGCTCACATATGGTACATTCCACCCTTATTTACTGATGGAAATAATACTAGAGCCCCTTTTCAAATGCCCATGGAGTCTAATTCTTCCTCCCATCATCCCAGCCTTTAGCTGAATTATTTATGACAGTATATTCCCACTACCCCTGTCCTCAGCTAAATTAACATATTCTAGCAGGGTTTACTGTAACTATTTACCTGAAATGTTGTCCTGAGTGTGTGCACAGATCTTGAAAGAGAATGAAGACACCTAACAGCAGCTAACTGGATTGGTGGACAGGCTGCAGACAAGGCACCGACAATTGTGTTCATCAGGCCCTCTGTATTAATTACTCTTTGGCGAATATCTTCATCATTTGCCCCCAAAGATGCATAGACCTTCAGGGCAGCTTCTAGCATCAGATCAGGCCATGTACTTGGATTATCATACTGTCGACAAGACTGGAACAAAGTTCATTATGATTAATACAATTATACGCATTCTTTCCCATCAAAATCAAGTTGTTTAATATTAATATGGAAATATAATGGTATAACTTCTATATAATCCAGATAAATTATGAACAACAGCCTTTCTAAACTATAGAAGTCAAGCAAGGGTAACAGATACAAAAACTTACGATTGGAGAAACACTAATTCCCTGTGGTGCTGAAGCTCCAGCAGTGGGTGTGTCTTTGAGGTAATCATTCATTATATGAATTAAATGGTCTGTCATGGCTGCTGTCCTCTGTAGTTCTGTACTTACTTCAGTCAGATAAGCTAACGTGTTAGCTGCTTCAACACGTTCCCATATTTCCCTATCTCGACGACACATCCGAACCTGTGCCAATAATAAAAATGAACAAATAATTTCTAAATAAGCCCTAGTTACAGGCTATCAAGAAATTAAAAAAATATATATACATATATCAAATTTAATGTATATTACTTATAGGAAATAAAATCACACTTGAAACTGACCAAGCATTGTAAAGTCTTAAATATGACTTTTGGATCATCAGCTGACAGTGCCCCTGCACGATGCAGGAATGTTAGCGCAGTAGCTGCAGCAAGCTGCATATCACAAGGCCGATCTCTTGCCATTAAACCCACAAGCAAGTCTGGCACAGCTTTACCACCGTAACTCTTAGTAGCTATGATAGACGAAACTCTTTCATTGCTGTTACAAATAAAAAAAAAAGAAGAAATAGTGAGAATGACAGGAAAATAAAACAGTCAGCCATACTAATTACCTAATCATACAGCAACCTGAATAAAGCAATAATGAGACTTGCCTTTTCATGAAAAAATGGCATACTCAAGTCTGAATTCTGGTTTAACTGGGACTGGCAAGGTTCATATGATTCTTCATAACAGTATACTGAAAACTACATATAGGTTACAAAGCCATACCAATAAATAGAAGTACATCATACAAGATTTTTTCTTTAGGATTTTAAACCTAATCTAAGTGGCAGTATCTCCTCAAAAATAGTAATTAGGGACAAATAAGTGAACAACTGTTTAGAATGCACGTTTGGCTGCACGACTAAACCTGACAAAACCAACACACCATACAACCATATAGATTCTAACTACTAATATGATAATGTATCATCAGCTTTGCCTTCTTTGGTTTTCAGACACATTTGACAAGAGAATTTAGCCATGCTTACAGCTATCTGTACAATTTGGTCTATCTCTCTCAACAATGGCTTTTTTTAAAGACTTTTAACACTTTTTAACATCCTAAGCATACACAGTGAAATGTATTCAGATATCTGAAACCTAACACAGCTGCTGTGATACTAAATGAGTTTGAATAAAAATATGATTGGTTCAAATAAATTCAACCTGAAGTATGATATCTTGCAAAGTTCACTCTTTAATAAAAATTATCAAGACAATGAAATGACAAATGGTAGAGGCAATACTGTATTTGTGTAACAGAGAAAGCATATAGGTGATTGAAAAGTTCAGCACTAAAGTCCAGTCCCAGTTCTTCTATATAAGCATCCTTTTGTTATTCTGGCAAAAATATCAAGCAACAAAAATAATGGCTATATAAGTAACAGATATATATAGCTACAGACTACTATAGATATGGTTCAGAAATGTGAGAAAGAAAGATGTGATACATAGAATTATACAGACAAGCATCCATAAGAGTATGCACCCTCAAATACACAAATGCACACATGTATGTGCAAGGATACCAAAACATCCATACTATGACATTTAAAACCCAAATATGTAAATTCTGACAACAAAGACCTCTATATATTTTCCTTCACTTTACATTTTGTTTATCATATTGATCTTTCAACAACAAGCCAAGCAGCTCTTCTCACTTACTTGTAACACATGGCTGCCAAACAGTGTAATGCAGGAAGCTGAACTCTGGACACAGGTGAACACAACATACAGGCTACAAGATCTGCTCCCCCTGCTTCTACTAATTGCTGCTGCTGTTCACAGGTCTGTCCAAAAGATTACAGTTATTTTAAAATCTTTTTTTCTAGAATCATAAAAAACTATTACTCTTTATTACACAGATATACCCTTATCTCATCATGAAATAATATATTGAGCTTTTAACAGGTATTCATTATTACATTATCTATATGCAAATGTTAGTCAAAACACACACTACCACAAAGTTATGTCCAAAAAACACAACTTTCTTATTAAGACTACAATCACATGCACCACAAAGAACAAGAGCGCACACAAACCCTGGATACCTTGCATGCATGAGCAAGGATGTTGGCAACACATTCCTGGTTGCTAGGAGGGTGATAGCCATGTTGTATAAGAGTCGTTAGGAGTTTGTGGTCCCAGGCAGGAGGCGGGGGTGCACAGCCCTGCCGATAGACTGATCGAAGACAACAGAGAACCATTGACGTGTATGCGTTGGCCCCCCCTCCTCCACCACATGCTTCAAGTTCTGCAGTTCGGAAAATAGAATTAAACACTTCAAATGTATGATAGGGAAATAATAACAAAATAATAACATAATAAAATAATAATAATAATAATAATAATAATAATAATAATAATAATAATAATAATAATAATAATAATAATAATAATAATAATAATAATAATAATAACAATGAGTAGCTATCACAATAATAATAATAATAATAATAATAATAATAATAATAATAATAATAATAATAATAATAATAATAATAATAATAATAATAATAACAAAAACAACAACCCAATGAGCACGGGCGGTAAGACTACAATACCATGCCCACTGTAATAGATTTATCTACGGTCTTTACTTATAGATGGCTCTACAAGTGGTTAGTTACCAAGGAGTCAGCTATTAGTCTTACCTATCTAATCTGTTTACCCTTTTCCTTCATTTTTTAGAAAATTCACTTCCATTATTTTATTTTATTTGATGTTACCAATATTTTAATAACAATTTCATAATCAAAATATCAATAAGAATTATAGCAATGTCAATATTAATAGTATTGGAAAGAAAAAAGTTTTTTCCCACCAATTCAAGGAATGGGGAAATCAGGATCAGTCACTAAGGCAAACTGATAGACTCCTTGGTGCTGAGCCATCTGTATGTAACAAAATTCACTAAACTCTATTGGGAGCAGTACATAAACCCGCTGACATTGGGTTAATAATAACAATAACAATAACAATAATAACAGTAATAATAATTCACTATTCACAAGAAAAAACAAGTGAGTTAAATTCAATAAGTCAAATACTGCACACCTTCAAAATAGATTTTATTTTCATTTCAAAAAGACTACACACTTATTAGTCTAGTGTACTCTGCCCTTGGACATAAGGAAAGCTGAACACTTAATAATTACAAAAATCAATAAATCAGCTAACAAACACTTACCAATCTTTTAAAATAGATCATGAAAAATCTTTATAAAACATCCTCCAGTAATCCAATCAAAGCTTAGTCATTCAATGATTCATTTTCTGATAATAGATCTTTTATCTAAAGACACACAACAAAGCCACATGCAAAAAATTCACTTACGTTCCCACAAAACAGGTAAAAGTCCTGCTTGCACTAATGCTGCTGCATGCTCTGGTAGACCTTTTGCAAGTGAATTCAGCACAGTAGCTACTTCTGTTTTAAGAATCAGATCAAACTCTTGCGCACGAAGAATCTGAAGTAATCGCACTACAACTCCCTGCTCAATTATGGAACCCTTCTCCCTTACACTACCAATAACTGCAAACTTTAATTCACTGTAAAAGAGAAAATTACATTAATATAAAAATAAACTACTTATGCATCAAATTATATAAAATCTCTTATATGGTACAGAATATTTAACAGGAAAATATCTTCATACAAAGTCTGAGAATATTTGAACCAAGTACTTAAATCCTAAAACAATTTTCTAAAGAAAAATTCATGAAACCTACATCTAGAATTATGGATGAAAACAATAAAAGAAATTTATAATGCATTACATACCTAACTGCTTGGAAGCATTTTTGAGGATCATTAGAATATAGTTGGTCGATATAGGCTCGGCTATGTTCCACATCCTGAAAAAAATATAAAAATAACATTATAAAAAATACTCTTTATTAACTTAATTTGTAAATTGCATGATACATATTCTCTTCAATTGAGAAGTCACAACTAAATAAACATAAGCAATTATACAAATTTCAATAATTTGTGTACAATAAAGAATCACTCACTCTAAACAATAAATATGATACAGGTACATCAACATTTACTTTGAAAATCTAAATGCTATTGCACAGGCAACTCCCCACCAGATCTACAATCATCTACCTTGTAGTTTTGGGAAGACTTACCAAGGGAACTCATTTTAATGTAAATAAATAATGCACATGCATTCCTTATTTATAAAAAAAAAATACTTGACTTCCTCACATGTATGTGTATAGCATACATCTCTGTCATCTCTTCATGTTTTTCATAAACAGAGATCATAATCTAGAACAACCATGCATGGCATGGCTGCTTGTCAGCCAAAATTCAACTCAGTTCATTATAAACTGATTTGACATTATCTAGTAAGAATGGATTAAATAGCATGCCATCCTCAGATTTGATAAATATACATTTTCTATCTGCCTCCCATTTATATACAGAAAACAGTTCTATAAATATTTTGTATATCACATTAGTTTCACAGACAAGATTCAGAATTCTGCATATAGGTTAATGTGGTAAGAGCAAAGCCAGTTTCATTTTCTGTCTAAATGTTTGTTTTTTGAGTTAGTATTCCTGTGGATTCCCCATCCCAAACGCCTAGGGGATCCACAAGAACTCAGAGTTGTGAAGGGAAGGAGGCAAATTGTATAATACACAACTGATTTAAGCCGAGTGTGACAATCTGTTCACCTGCATAGTGAACCAAGTGGACAGTGTTCACATATGCTACATGGTGATATGGCAATACAGTTAACAAGCATTCTCTATGTATATTCAGAGAAAATAAAGATTGGACTGATTCCTTATCTGATGCTGTAACTCCCTGGTATGTCATCAATGTATAGGCTCTCCTACATTGCAAACATAGATCTCAAAAAAGGAAATAAATAAAACAATCACAGATATGTCCTTGAGACACAAGAACCAGCTCTGAACTTCCAGAAATATATTGTCAAATTGCACAATTCTCTAAAGAACAAACAACATGAACCAATTCTTATTTCTGACTGACCTGTTGATCGACAGGTGATTTTCATTGGTTATCTTCTTTACATGAACAGGTTAATCTGAACCCACTGCATCACAGCTATAGCAGATGGATGGCATCTATTACTTGAACTGGTGTCTGTATATCTTTAGGGAGTGATTGTGTGGGTGTGAGTTCCCACTGGAAGGTGAAGTGGAGATTAACGGGGGGAACCAGTAGACTCCCCAGTTGGCTAAAGACTTGGCAGTCCTGAGTCATAGAGCATTGGGGAATGCTGATCTCAGTTCCAGATTCTGCAGTTTACGTACACTTGTGCACTAGCAATGTGAAAGCATCCAAGGAACGAGGGAGAGCTGTCCAATGAGCGAGGACAAGGATATGGACCTGATGTGACCCAACCTGGCAAGTATGCTGAGTTTCAGGTTGTGCTGCTACAGGTGCTCCCCATCCAGGGAGTGAGCTAAGCAAGCTAGCAATTTGCCATGACGTTTCACTCTGGGGGTCACCAGTGTAGTAGATGGATGGCATATATTACTTGAACTTGATTACGGTAGGCTCCCCAGTTGGCTATGGGCAGGGCAGTCCTGACTTGCTCCTGCTTCAGGTTTCAGGGTCATGGCCCAAAATATGGGCATCAGGTTTACGGGAGCAACTGCTCTGGCTCCTTGCCTCCCCTTTGCATTATTTTCTCTTTTTAGGCATAAGCATTTTTAGCTTTTCTTGAAATTTTCCATTGTCCAAATTTGTCATTTGATTTGCTTTATCTAGATGGTAATAACTGTTTTCATTGCGCAGACTCCATACCTTCTTTCTAGATTGTCTATAAGTAACATTCTGCTATTTGTCTCTCTTTTCTTTTATCTTTTACCCCTTCACGACAGGTGACACCGATAGGCATGAAAACAAACTGCTCTAAATGTGCTGTGCGGCTGTATGCCGCTACCGCGGCGTGCCAAAGCACGGTGAGCTGGTGATTCGGCTTGATGTACCAAACTCCCGCGCTCAAAGTCAGCGCGCTGCCATGGCTGGCCAGAGCATAGAGTTTTTTTTGTTTTCTTCACCCGTCACCATTGGGTTAATATTCATATTTTCTGTAATATAACCTGCGCTGCCAGTTGTGGTGGCCAGGAATAAGATGTTGAGCAGGGAAATGGCGTCTTTCCTGGAGCTGGCACTCTTCCAGTTATGGCTCACAGACACTGCATTTCATACTCATTTGTTGATAGAAATAATGCAAAAGCCCCCCCTCTTAGCACCAGATTTTCCCATGACGGCATGCTCATATCACCAAGTCCTCAAGCCAAAAAATTTTCATGACGTGATAGTCAAAATGTATCAGTCAACTATTTACTAGCAAAGGCAAAAGGTTAAAGAGCTGTTACATTTATTGTATTTCTTTTTCAATTACTTTTCTAATTTCAGTCTGTATAAGAAATGTCATAGATGAACAGTCCATTTATCAATTCCATAAAATATCAGTAACAAAAATCATATTGTCATGCACTAAAACTGGACCTACATTTCTGGCTAACCATACATTACAATATTATAATCCCCACTCCTTAAATATCATACACACACACAGGCCTACCTAAAATGCAAATTAATATATATAGACACAATCTTGGAACATTTTTGATAATGGAAGATACTACAGCTCCTATTTCTAATTGCCTTATTTATTTTATAAGTGAAATACTATTATAATTCTTTTTAAATGATTACTATGCCATAGAAGAAATGTGTTCAAAACTCACAGAACAATCAATTTCATAATATCTTTTACAGTATTTACCATATCTGTGCTCCAAATTTTAACTGGATCTGGGTAACAGGGGAAAAAAATTGGTTGAAGGGATGGATCCTTAGAATCTGCTGCATGGAAAAATCTGGCTGAGGGTTGGGGTGACAGAAACATCACTCAATAGGATATTGTAACTGGGTGGCTGGTAACAGATAAGCCTACACCAATGGTGCACTAAGCTGACTCAGCAGGCCTTTAGTAAGGGACTCATACAATATTTCCACAAGTCATGCCTAGGAGAACACCGGCTACAGTTAGGACATTACATCTATATACAGCATCTTATTCCTGCCTGCAGTTACCTGCAGTGAAAATATAAAAAATAACAAAAATAACTTCTATTACACATAGTGTAAAGTATCTAGAGATATATTAAGGAATGTACACAAAAGTCGCTTACCATTTTGAAACAGTAAGGCAAATGACATATACAGACTGAGGGAATTAACATTACACTAAAAACATATCTCCAGGATAAGAGCTAATGGCATTACAAAGAGAAAGAAAGGAGTCTTGCTACCACAAGCAGTGTTCACTAGCATAAACTTGGTATAAAGAAAAAAATCCAATTCCACTAGTAATACCATCCACTACATTGTCCAGATTATGCCCATATAAACAGGTAATAAACCATAATACCCATAAAAACCATATAAAATAATACTGCAAGGTATAAAGGAATCTGCAGAGAGTAGAGCCAAGTCCACAATTGCTTATCAAAACCTGTGCATTCATATTTCCTCAGTCACACTCATTTTACTTCAGATATTCCAGAAACTCTCCTTACTACCTCCTTTCTCCATACCTATAAAATAACAGTATGAAAACCATTGAAACAAAAAAATAAGGCCACATAATACTGAGTAATATAATATTTCCACAGTGAAACATGCATATACAAGTGATTATCTAAAGCAATCTACAAGTAACCTACAATTTCTGAACAGAAACTTACCCTCCCTGTCCTTGACCTTAATATTAAAAGATTCCTATTTGGTATTTAGAAATTAACTTCCCACTGACCAAAATAAAGAGCAAAAACACAGACAACAGTTTGTAAATGCCTCCAAACGAAGATGTAAACCAATCCATAAAAAAAATACAGTACAGAATTAAGTAAAATTTAACCCTTAACCTTTGTGTATATATATATAATGGCAACACCTTAGACCTTCACTTCTACCTTTAAAATCAAAGCGAGACTTTAATTTAGAACAGTATATTCTTTGAGACTATGCATGAGTCTATTCCATTTAAATACATGTCGAAGCATAATGGCTGATAGCATTTACTTAACAATGGAACAACAAAATTATTTATCTTTTTATTAGACTCGTAGACACCAAAGCATGGAAAGTTGTTAACGACACCTTATGAACCACTATTCACCCTCTCTAAGTAAACACTAATTGTGCAGTGGTTCTTTGGTCATAAAAGCCGACCTTGACATCAGCCAGATAAGTTTTACTCACCATATATGTGGGTAAAACCTCCATTATAAGAGATTTTCTTCTTCTTCTTTCTTCTTTTATAGGGTTTTAGACTATTTTCTAGTTATAAGAGATTTTGATGTGATTCTCCCTAGGCCGGTTCTTGTGTGACAGCTGTGTTTTGATGCATTTGGTATATATCAGTCAGAGGGAGTTTGTGTCTTTGAATTGCTTTACGCAGACCTGAAATGAGTGAATTATC